TTTTTCCCACATTCTCACATGGTATCAGATTAGGTTTAGAGTCCAATATAGGGTTAGTATTTTTCGCTCGTCTCCGGCCGTCGTCAATTCTCACCTTCCATACCATCATCACCGGCATCCTCCGGCGACCAATCGCTCAAAGTTTCGGCCCGTTTGGCAGCGCGTGGGGCCCACACGCGCCCGATTTCTGCGACAGCGCCGACAGCTTCAGCCGGCGCGTGGGGCCCACCCCCAGCTTCGATCGCCGCGATTTTTCAGCCGTAAACTCCCCTCTTCGTCGGCTACGTCCTGGTGTGGTCGGTTTTGGTTTTCGTCACCTTTTTAATTTCCTCTATTTTGTGCTATTTTGACGGTTCCGTGATCCGATTTCTGCCTATTTTTTCATCTGTTTCGTGTTATTGTGTTGATCTGCTTTTTGGATATGGATCATATGGATTTTCATTCCCCTATTAGTGTTGTCTTATCATGAGACAATTATAGTCTTTAGGCACAGTCTATGAAGAGTTTTTTAATTGGGAGAAAATTGTGGCGGATTGTGACTGGTGTTGTGTTGCCACCTGTACATCTGTCTCTTTCTGGGGATCCCAACCCCACACCACAGGTTCTTACATCTTACGTCGATAAGTTGGAGGATTGGGATAGTAAGAACCATCAGATTCTTACTTGGTTACGTAATACTTCAGTCCCTGCTATTCAGGTGCAGCTTGCCCCGTTTGACAGTGCAAAGGAGGCTTGGAATTTTTTGGCTACTCGATTTCAGACTACAGGCTTGGCTCACTATTATCAGCTTTGGAGCACCTTGTATTCCGCCAAGCGGCAACCGGGTCAATCTGTCAATGAGTTTCTTGCACAAGTTCAGCCTATCCGGTATCGTCTCCGACAGGCTGAGATTAGTCCGAATCACCTTGATCTTATCCAGATTTTGATGGCTCTACGTCCTGAGTATGAGGCTGTTCGTGCTTCTCTCTTACACCGTCATCCACTGGCTACTCTTGATGTTGCTATTCAAGAGATCACTTTTGAGGAGACTCGTCTTCAGTTGGCTAGGACACCACAACTTGAGTCTGCATTAGCTGTGCCTACTTCCGCTTCCGCTCCGTCGCATCAGCCTCAGTCACCAGCCCGTGTTTATTGTCGGCTTTGCAGGAGTTCTAGTCACCATTTTTCCACTTGTTCTAAGGTGGAGTGCCATATCTGTCATGCTCTGGGGCATATTTCTCCAAATTGTCCAGCGAAGTCACAACGTTCGGGAGGTTCATTTTCTCGATCTCGAGGGTCTCGTGGGTCTTCTTCATCGACCCCTTCTTCTTCGGTTACAGCAGCTGTCACTAATGAGCCTCAGCACTCGTCTTATTCTCTTCAAGACATAGAAGCTATTCTCAAACAAGTTATCCATTCCAATTCTGCTATGTCTGCTACCGCAGGTAACCCTCATTGGTACTTTGATTCTTGCTGTTGCTATCACATGACCTCTAGTCCACAATTTTTGTCTTCCTCGTCTTCCGTCACTTCTTTACCCCCTATACATACTGCAAATGGTACCCGTATGAATATTACTCACACTGGTCTGGTTTCATCCCCTTCTTTACATCTTCCTGACACATACTGCATTCCTGATTTGGCCTTGAATCTTACTTCTGTTGGTCAATTGGTTGAACAAGGTCTTAATGTTCTATTTTCATCTTCTGGTGTTCAGGTTCAGGATACACAGACGGGTCGGCTTCTCGGGACGGGTCGCAAGATGGGCCTGTTATTTGAGCTTGAGTCTCTTCATATCCCTCGTTCTTTCTCATTTTCTGCTCCTATCATCGATAATCAGTCCAGTTTTCAGTGGCATCTTCGTCTTGGGCATGCGTCTTGAAATAAAGTTCGTTCATTATATCATAAAGGTCTTTTAGGTCCAGGTCATTTTGAGTCTTTTAGTTGTCTTCATTGTAAGCTTGAGAAACACTCGGCTCTTTCTTTTTCTGAGAATTTGTCAACTGTTGATAAACCTTTTGGTTTGGTACATTCTGATATTTGGGGTCCTTCTCCGGTTGCTTCTATGAATGGTTTTCGGTAATTTGTTATTTTTGTTGATGATTTTTCTCGTTTTACCTGGATCTATTTTCTCAAAAATCATTCTGAGTTGCCCACCATATATATTCAATTTGCTAGAATGATTCATACACAATTTTCTTGCCCTATAAAGGTCTTGCGTATTGGCAATGCCCTTGAGTACAAGGATTCTACCTTTTTAAACTTTCTTTCTGATCAGGGCACAGTAGTTCAACGTTCATGTCCTTATACTTCTCAACAAAATGGACGAGCTGAACGTAAGCATCGTCACATTCTTGATACTGTTCGTGCTCTTCTCCTTTCTGCTAAGTGTCCTGATCGTTTCTGGGGTGAGGCAGCCTTGACTGCTATTTATACTATCAATCGGTTACCCTCATCAGTTCTTCGAGATGTCAGTCCTTTTGAACAGTTGCACGATCAGTCGCCTGATTATACTCAGTTACGTCCTTTTGGTTGTGTTTGCTTTGTTCTTCTCCCATCCCATGAGCGAACCAAGTTAGAACCTCGAGCTCGTTTGTGTTGTTTTTTGGGTTATGGGGTAGAACACAAAGGGTTTAGGTGTTGGGATCCTATTGCTAATTGGTTTTGTATTTTGCGTCACGTTACCTTTTGGGAGCATACTATTTTTTCTTCTTTGTCTAAATTTCACATTCCGTTTGATTCGTCATCCCTTTTCTTCGTGTCCATTACTTCGGATCTCTTTCTAGATAATTGTCCTGACTCACAGCTCATTGACACGCCTGCCATGCCTCCGTCTTCTGAAGTGGCTCCACCTGCGCATCCTGAACTGACGCTCCCTGTTGAGTCCTCTTCTGATTCTGTCCCTTCACCTACCATTGATCACCGACGATCAACTCGTGTAAGTCGTCCCCCTTCTCACTTACTTGACTATCATTGTTATTCGGCCATACTATCTCATCATGAGCCTAGCTCTTTTCGTGAGGCGAGTGTTGATCCATTGTGGCAACAAGCTATGGCTGATGAGTTGCAGGCGTTAGAGAAGACTCATACGTGGGATTTGGTGGATCTACCTGCTGGAAAGAAACCTATCGGATGCAAATGAGTTTATAAGATCAAGACGAATTCAGATGGTTCTATTGAGCGCTACAAAGCTCGTCTAGTTGCTAAGGGGTACTCACAGGAGTACGGCATCGATAATCAAGAGACCTTTGCACCGGTTGCTCGTCTTACTACTGTTCGGTGTTTACTTTCTGTTGCTGTTGTTCGTCGATGGTCTCTTCTGCAGTTAGATGTCAAGAATGCCTTCTTGCATGGTGCCTTATCTGAGGAGGTTTACATGGCTCCACCTCCGGGGTCTTGTCCTCTGGGAAGGTTTGGCGTCTACGTCGTGCTTTGTATGGTTTGAAACAAGCTCCTCGTGCCTGGTATGCCACGTTCAGTTCTGCATTGTTTCAATTTGGTTTCACTACGAGTGATCACGATTCCGCTTTGTTTCTTCGGCGCTCCTCATCGGGGATTATTATTTTGCTACTCTATGTTGACGATATGATCATCACGGGAGATGATGTTACTGGTATTTCCGATTTACAGGACTATCTTCGTCAGCATTTTGAGATGAAGAGTTTGGGCCAGCTTCGCTATTTTTTGGGTCTTGAGATTTCTGATTCCTCTGATGGATTCTATTTGTCTCAAGCCAAGTATGCCTCTGATCTTCTTGCTCGGGCCGGTCTCACAGATTGTCAGACAGCTTCCACACCTCTTGATTATGATGTTCGTCTTACTCCACTGGATGGCTCTCTTCTTGAGGATCCTACGTTATATCGCCAATTTGTTGGGAGTTTGATATATTTGACTGTCACTCGGTCTGATATAGCTCATGTTGTTCATATTGTGAATCAGTTTATGGCTGCTCCGAGAACCATGCATCATCCAACTGTGTTGTACATTCTTCGCTATGTGAAGGGCACTCTATTGCATGGTTTACACTTCTCTGCCCGTTTTTCCTTGACACTTAGCGCTATTCTGATGCAGATTGGGCTGGAGATCCTACTGATCGTCGTTCCATTACTGGGTACTGCTTCTTTCTGGGTGATTCACTCGTCTCTTGGCGTAGTAAGAAGCAAACCTTAGTCTCCAGATCGAGTGCTGGGTCTGAGTACAGCGCTCTTGCTGATTCCACCTCCGAGCTATTATGGTTACGTCGACTACTTGCTGATCTTGGTGCCCCTCAGTCGTCGTCTATTGCTTTACATTGTGATAGTCAGAGTGCTATAAAGATATCTCATAATGATACATCATGAGCGCACCAAGCATATTGAGATTGATTGTCACTTCATTCGACAGCATGATGCACATGGGACTGTGAAGCTTGTTCCCGTCTCCTCTACAGATCAACCAGCATGTCTTCACAAAGTCTCTCCTTCCCCGTCGCTTTTGTTTACTTCTTAGCAAACTCAAGTTGATCTCCACGAAACCACCTTGAGTTTGAGGGGGGGTTAAATATGTAAATATTGAGATTGTACTATAGGTTAGGATTAGGCTAAGGCCCATATATGTATCTATATATATGTGTACTTCTCTTTGTGAATAATACATCATATATTTTTCCCACATTCTCACATAACTGTTTCGCACTTTATCAATAATGTATGTATGTTTGTCGCTCAGTGAACGCATAACTGTTTCGTACTTTATCAATTATCATCGTCTTCAATTCGCATAGCCTATAACATAATTATTTCGCACTTTAGAAATTATCTTCACCTGTCTGTCGCATATCTTATCGTATAATTTATTTCGTACTTTATGGGGTGAAAAAGTTAAATTATTATTTGACAGTGTGAAACTTATTCCATCTTCAGAATGGGGTGAAATAGTTTTTTCTTCATAGTCTTATCTCCTATATATTCGGTATTAAGCACTTCGTAGAAGACGATGTCTTGACAATTCACTTAACTTGTCTTTTTATTTTATTTTTTTCCAAACGACAATTATATTATAAATGAAAAACAAAAAGGAGTACAAATTTGTGTCACCTGACACAATAAGAACCAGAAAGTCTTGTCCCACCCTCTTGAAACACACAAATCCAAGGGGTACAAACTCCATCGCAGAGACAACCGTACATACAAAACCCAACTCTATAAAGGAGACTCGAACTCCATAACGGATACAGGACTGGACTTAACGGAGTAAACAAAAAACAAAGAAAGATAAAAACAACTCACAACTAATAAACAAAAAACAAAGTAGAATAATACCTCCCTAAAAAGATTAACAATAAAGAGACTACCGAGTCACACCTACAACAAATAACACAAACTGAGCAACATAATTGTCAGTTCATTAAGTGCCAGTGAAATAGTCACAAGTACACGGCACAAAACGAGTACAGGAATCTTTTATTGTCAAGAAAGTAACATCGATACCATGAATCTTATTTATTATGGCTCTGACAACAGTTCATGTATTTGAACACATTCGCCGTGACCTACTTACTATATTAATGCTCATTGAGAATGTCATGCTGAAGAATATACAACGTGCCTAATTGGTACTTGGTCGATAACAGTTATCATATCATGGAATTTCATGGTTATCGTTAGACTTTCGCCTCATTTGAGAATAACACATCAAACCGGAGTTTCATGACTAGGTCAAACATTGCAACAGGTTCTCGAAAAAGTCGGTATGAAAACGAGTTGATCTCTCAATGCCATCAACAATAAGTTGTTTAATTCATCCATCAGCTAATTGGAAACCTGGTAAAACAAGCAACACACAATCGGTCAAAACAATAGAAGACAGTTACGCAAACGTCTAATCAAGTATGGCCAAGCTAGTTATTTACCTGCTTCTTTGCTAATGTCAGTTTCTGTAGCAGATGTAATATTTGCAGGGGCACTAGCATCAGTCGTCTGTTTATTTTCTTGCGCCATAGCAGGTTGATTCTGAACTTCATTTGTTGCTTGGGGCTGCATTTCAAGTTTTACCGAGATTTTATCAGAATATACTATCTTTCCAAAGGCACAAATGACAAAATGACAGTTTTGACTGAAATAAAACTTTAAATTAGTTGAAACACAAGTTCATGAAAGACAATGCTTTATCCGCTGAAGGCGTGATAGTTGTTTACTTTTGAAGGGCCAAAAAGTGAATTTAAGTTAAACTTGTACAAGTATTTGTTGAGTTCACTTACAATATAATCTGTCACATGAAATGAAAGGCAAGAATTCCAGAAGTTGAAATATTTGTTACTCGGTCTCACAAAAGGAAAGGCAAAAAAGGCAAAAAATTCCAGAATTCGCATTTTCAGACTTCCCTTCCAATTATAGATGTAAAATACATTTACAAACATCAAATGAGGTCATAAGTGCAGATAACCAGTTATCAAGATTCAAGCAAAAACATTACTGCTGTCGATTACGGCCCATAAGCCTGTAAACCGGACTTTTTCGATCAGACCACCACCGATAAAACAACCTATCTTCCCAAAACAACACTGAAGATAGTTTTTTTCATCCTTCCCATCACCCAAAACTTAAAGAATAGCTACTTTTCACAAAATACAGCAGAAGCTTGAAAAATTAGAATAGAATCAACAGTCACCAACCTTTTGAGATTCGGAGTGAATTGAGCCACCGGGTACCACACTACTACAATTTGACCGTAGATTCATACTCGTAATATCACCATTATGACCTCCATTACTTAATCCCATGGGAAAATTCAATGAAGACTGCCCAGTTACAAAATTTGGAAGCCCTTGACCAGGATAATGCCCATATAAAGGCATTCTGGCAGGAAAATTCAATCCCTGCACTGGAAAAACTGGACATCTGGGCATGCTGCTATTCATATCCATCATGCCCATTGACGAAAAATGTGGAATGTGAGCTGGATGATGTGGCATCTGTGGGAATCCTGTGGAGAACATCATAGGGGGCATGCATAATCCGGCACCCATCGACATAACCTGTATAATCACGAATATTATAGGCTGATTAAAAAACTTGTTTAAAAAAAAAAAAGAGAGAAATTTTTTAATTACCTGTACTTGAAGCTGAAGGGTCTTTAGATATTCAATGGCTTCATCGAGCATTGAAGCTTTATCTGCCTGGAGAGTAATGCAAGATATACAGATGTATTAAAATTTGAACACTAAGTTAATCTTGCAGCCCCTTCTCATTTCGGAGTTCAAATTTTCATTTTCACACTTCAGTTATTGCAAAGGCTGATTTTCTACTAGAAGCTTAAATTTATTCACTGGATCAAGTGCATAAAATGACTCAACACTGGTCTCCTAGAGGGGAATTGGGAAAAGAAGTATCACTAGGCAAGTATATATATATATATATATATATATATATATATATAAATCCAAGGATGCTTTACCTTATTGCAATTTGGTATAAGTTCCTGTAGAGCACGCATTTTCTCATTGATCCTGTCTCTTCGTCTCTGTTCATAACAATACACAAGAAGATCCATTGTATATTTTTATAGGCTTACAACTCAAATGTAACTCAAATATATTTAAATTCTTAATTTATTATGATCACCCTTTCAGAAAGATTATGCACTTCTGCTGCCCGACTTCTCTTTGATCCTCCACCTCGAGCTGGAGCTGGTTTTCTGACACCTACTGATTCCTCTTCAACATCCTGCGACTAAAAAAATAACTTAAATCAAAACCAAATAATATATATTATATATATATAATAAAAAAGAGAACACTCACATCACTCCTGCATTCAGAATCATCTGCATCACGAAACTTTCTCTTCAAATGTTTTGTCTGTTGGCAAGAAACTCTATCTGCACTGTTCCCCGAGCCCACAGAGGAAGAAGCAACCACAGTCTCGACAACTTTCTCCTTTTGCGAACCCCATTTGCTCGTGTCAGTAGTACTGCTTACGAATACAGACTTCTCATTCTTAGCCGAGTTCGATTGCCCACAACTTGCCTCAGCTGGCTTGGCTGATGAAACACCATTAAATCTCTCAATAATTCCTGATTTCTCTAGATTACAATCACTAGCATCTGGAGCTTTCTCCTTCAACACCTCCTTTTCATGAGAACTCAGGGCCTTGGCTTTCACAAGGTTAGCTGCTCCAGCAAAATGGGCGAAGTTGAGATAATTCGAGCCATTATAAGTGGTACGCTGCCCTATGTTCTGCCTCTCGCTGGTCGAACCATTTCCTATATCCAGATGTTTACACATAATATTACTATTATTATCGATATTTTTGTTGTTATTGCTATTAATACCCGAAACTCCCGATCCAAGAGCATTCAGCCTCTGGGGATGATGAGGTGGAGGCCACGTACTCTGCAAATTACTCACACAAGACAATAAGCTACTATTATTTTGTGTGGAGACTGGATTAGCCTTCACACAAGATGTCTCGGGTACAAGCACAGAAGCATGATCCTGAGTAAGGACATCTAACCAAGGATCCATCTCATCCAAAGACATCTCGTCCAACATACTCATTGTACCAAGTCTCGACTCACAAGGTAAACCATGGTTAACTGGTGTCTTGGACTGGCTCGACTGACCTTGAATGCTGACCTCACCGTTTCGCCAAATAAGCTCGTCAAAATCGTTTTCCGGCCTGAACAAAGCTCTCAGTTAATGAAATTATAATAATATTATAAGTGTCCATCAAGAATTTTTCAAAGGTGACTGTAAAAATGGCTTACCGGGAAGAGGGAGCAGTCGAACATGATCTCTGTTGGCTGGACTCCATTTTCCGGGCGGCCATTTTCAAAAACTCTGACAAAGGCATGGTGGAGAACTACAAAGATGATGTGTTGATAAATTGGTAAGTGAGCTGTGAGTATTATTACTTGACAGTTAAGATCCACAGATGAAACCAAGCTTTACTCAGTTAAAACAGACTGAAACTGATATCCAGAGGAAGACCTGCAGAATTAATGAAACCTTTAAGAGAAATATTATGACTAGATTTTTC